ATGATTTGTCTAGGATTTGGAGGATTCATTCTCAGAAGTACTGTTACTATTTTAGATGGTAATCACTGTTCCTATCAATGTAAGATGCCTTGTGTCACACGCAGACTGTATCCTTACAGTCTGTGAACATTTTCATTTTCGTTCTTCTAATTTTATACTTGTGTGAGCTTTCCATCTAATCATTATAACGTGTTCTCTTTGAGACATTCTAGTTTCCTACTTTATCCTGTTTTTTTCCTAAAACTGTAACTTTGTCTTGGCAGAAAGTTTCTAGATGGTTACAGAGATACTGTGTGTAGAGTCTCCTCTCTAAGGCTTCCTCAGGGTCCTGGCTCTGGAGTTGGACAGACATGGGTTGAAATAACAATTCGGCTACCAGACAAAGCACTTAATCTCTCTGCATCAGTCTTCATTTTCTTCATCTGTAACACGGAGATGATAGGTCATGGGAGAAGATGGAGGAAGGCAGGCAGGAGGCATGCTTCCGTGTGCAGACACCATGTAGAATTCTTTGGACTTTTATGATGATTCCAAAGTTATCATGTTCTGAATGGGAGATGAAATCAATAAATCGTGGCTGTGCAACTCATGTAAGTTAGCTAGAACTCTGTCGAATATTTAGATTTTAATTTACTTTTTATCAGTGATAGTTCTCTATTTCTTCCTGCAGTATCTCAATTTCTATGCTATGCCTCCTCTCTGTAAAAAGAAATGACAACATTTCTAAGTGGTCAAGCTGAGAGAACAATGGCAACTTGGTTCATTTTTCCCAGGTCAGAAATGAAGCCTTTTCTTTTACTTCGTACTGTAAACAGTTGTTTAACACCGTGCACCAGGTATTGTAGAAATTACAGGATAAAATTTTGCTCAAAAGGCATCCTTTTTACATCTCAGGTCTTATTCAGTCCTGATTTTTTTTCTTTAGTGCTTTACTTTGTTTTAGGACAAAGGGCTACTAAGGAAGGGGAGATTTAGAAATGGATGATGAGGGCTTAGGCAGAGTGATCTTTCCAGTCCAGGAGAGACCCGATGCGGTTAGACAGGAATTAGTATGCTGTGCAGTTGACTCCCTGGAAACTTGCTTTGGTAAGCTATTCCTAGTTTTTGAAACTGAAAACCTATTTTAGGTACTGATCTTAAGTATAGGCTTCTGACTACAGAACTAGGTGCATTTTAATTATTATTATTTTTAAAGGCAGGCAAGAAAGGAATTCTGTTAACCCAGCAGAGGTGTTAACACAGGCAGCCTGGACAGAGCAGTGGAGAAGGAAGAAGAGATATGAAGAACGCCCTGGGCAGAGAAGTGTCAGGTCACTGCGCTGTGGCTTTCCTGGCTTCCGGCAGTTAGGTTAAGTGCCCTTTTAGTATGTGGCCTGTCCTCACCATCAGCCAACCCTCTATTCTCGGAAAATATATTTCTATCAGAGAGTTGGGAAGGACCTTCACTGACCTCAGTACTATCTTCTATTTAACTGTGAACTTCTTTAGAAACAAGGTTCAGGTTTTATCTTTTTTTGCATCATCTTTACTAGGAGAGCAAAACCCGGGAAGAAGGTACCCTCTGTAAACATTTGTAAAAAGGAAGTGACAGGGTGTTTGTCCATTTAGTCAGTTTAACATGTATTTATTCAGTGTTTGTGATGAGTTGAGCATTGTTCTTCATGGTTACCATGTATTAGTGAACAACAGAAGCAAACAGCTACATCCTCATGAGCTTACGTTCCAGTGGGATTCACGGCAATAAATTAAAGACAGAATCAGAACAAACTTTATTGTTAGAGATGTAAGCCCCATAGATGGTGGATCCCTTAGAGGGTATTCATCTCTCCAGGAAGAGTCAGTGTTTACTAGGTGCAGGAAATATGCCAATGGCATTCAAAAATAATTATAGACAATATTTAACTTTTCATTTGTTTGTATTTTTGTTTCCCCTTAGATATGTTTTTTGCATATACTTCAAAATTCTGCATAGACATGACCTCTAATAAATCTTCTTGACTGCTGGAGGCTGACTCCTTCCTATATTCCCCGCCTTGCATGGGTTTTTAAAGGTCATTGTTCATGGATATCTACCACCATGAGGACACAGCAGTTTTCCCAAGACATCTGAGTCCTTTAAGAGCAAGGACTGTCTTCTGTGTGTGTTGGAGAATGTAGGTCCTTAAGTTTAATATAACTGAGTTTTCTATGACTAGAATAACTGGAACAAGTGAGACAGAATCAAGTTCTGCTTTGAGAAGTATTTCTAGAAGAGCTATTGAAAGGACGCAAAGTAACAACTAGTTTTAAATTTCTAAGTAAAGTTATTGGATATGAAACAAAAGAAGGTGAAAGAGGACACTGTAGGGGAAACAGGTAGCCATTCCTAACAAGGCAGACACGCGAGGCTTGGCAGCACTGTGACGAAGCTGCGGTTCTGATGCTGAGAGCTTTTGTATCATTATGTTCAGAACTGCTTGAATAGGTACCCAACAAAAGGAAGACAGAAGTAATAGTGAATATTAAATATTATTGGCAGAAATTTTTGCAAGGGATTTCTCTGAAAATAAAATAAAGATTGTGGCCAGATGGAAGGAACAGATCTAATAACTGCTGAACTAGCTCAGTGAATGGATGGACTCTTCTTGGGACTTTCGCTGGCTCAGAATTACTGCTAATTACTGAATGGTGGATGTAACTCCAGCAGTTCTTGGCAAACCTGTAAGGACTCGGCAGGAGTAGGATGGCTGCCACCAACAGTAAACCTTTGTGTCTCTCTATTATTGTAAGAACCTCAGGGAAGCAGCAGGGTGGGAGCAGAGGAAAGCCTGAATCAGCCAGAAGAATAAGAAGGGGCTGTTTCATTAGACATATCATTCTCATCTCACTTCTTGCCTTCATTCATGAAAACAGCATAATTGGAGGGGGAAGGTGCAGTAGCTCCTGCCCCTTTTAGAGACGGGCCTGACATCAGAAGGAGAGCAAGCTGAGGTCTGTTAAACAGCATGAAGTCTCTGAGCATGTATCATTTAGACAGGACTTTCGCACCGGAACCAGGCTAACCAGAGTTAATCCTCGCTGTCCCCAGGATTACCAGTTTCCCCCCGCCCCCCAAAGGCCCTTTTTATTGCTGAATTAAATTTTTAAGTTTAGACTTAGCTATTTTCAATAACTCCAGGCTTTTGTGATCTTTTAACAGCCTAACATTATTCAAGGAAACAAAATGCTTGTTTAGAAATCTGCTGGCTCCATGTTACTATCTTCTTCTGGTTCTGTTCTGTTTCTTGAACCCCCCAGATCATTTTCAAGTTGTTAGGGCCAGGAAAACAAGTAGAAACTAAACCAAAATGTAATTCTTTTCTACACCCACTTTCTGGGATGGTCTTTACATTTCACTTTTAGTTTCTATCCTAAAAGAGTTCAACAACTCAACAAACATTTATGACAGTTCTACCACTTGCCAAAGCTCTGTTATGCCCTGGGGATAATAGAGTGCTGAAGCTATGTACCCATCCTGAGGAGTGTCTGAGCACCTGTAAAGGAGGGATTTCAAAATGATGACGGAAGTGACAGACATTCTTTGCTTGACCAAACTTTAGGCAGGCTCCTGAATCTTCTCTGAGGCCCATCTGTTACCTACTTGCAAAATCTAGTTCTAACAAGAAACCTACTGAGTCAGTTTACCCAGAGCTAACCCTTCCTTAATACCTGATTATGTCTCCATCTTTCACTACCTCTCATGGGACGTCTGGTCCTCCCGACCTGCTGTGAGTACAAATCCACTTAGGTCGACTGAGCTGGAAGCCCTTTGGCCTTGATGGCTTCTCCCAGTAACTTTCCATCCATTGACACCTGCAGCCCCGGCTGTAAGTTCCCGCCTGCCCATGCAGGATTGAGCCCAGTCCTATATGAGGTCTCTTTTCCCTTATGACAATAGTTCTGACTAAAATCTGTTTTTACTGCTTTCACTACAGTCCAGCTCTGGTTTTGCTTTGACATAAGTGGGAAGGTGAAGGTAAGGCTAGGAATGCAATACTCAGAATTGAAAGTAAACAGATCCCTCTGCGTCACTGCCTGGCTTGATATACCTGGAGGTGTCTCTACTTTCCAGCTTCCCAGGCACTGGCCACCTCAAGGAGACCTTTGCCCACTGGTGCCTGGAGCCCTACTCCCTGATTCCCACCAGGGCTTTTGAAGCTGCTTTTGCAGATCTTGGTGTCCTGTGCACGGAACAGTTGCTCTGTTGTGTGGATACAGGCTGCAGGGCCAGTGACTGGTTGCTGGGCTGTCAGAAGACTCATGAGAGCACAGGTCACTGCTGGGTTCTGGAAGTCCACTGTAGCACTGACTGCTGCACCTTTTGGCTGCCGCCATTGCTGTGGCTGTGCCGGTGTCGTGGCCAGCGTTTAGATTTGTGAATGTGGATATATAAAAGTCAGGGTTAGATTCAGGAGCAAGTTTGTTATATTCTAAATGTCCTGGGAAATCCTTTCCAAGGGTGGGAAGGAGGTCAAACTCCGACCCCATAGGGCTTTATTTAAGGCTTTATTTAAAAGAGAACACAAAGCATTAGTTCACATGACCACACATGTAGATTGGAGCATTGGAGGTTGTGATTTTGGAAAAAAATAAAAAACATTAACTCATTTATGTACTCACCTGATTCCTGTTGGACACAGGGTAATTGTAAATTAAGAAAATTGTTTTTACAAATACAAACATAATAATTGTTAGGTCATATCTTTGATGAAGAAACTGATACAAGCATTTTGCCTCTTATTTTTTAAGTAAGTTTAGTGAGAGTCACACCTGTTAGGATGTAATTTGCAAAAGAGGGACGTGCAAGCTTGAGAGGAGACAGGTCCCATAAAACATGGCAAAGAAAGAGTAAAGATTTTGCATTAAAAGTTCTGGGAAGGAAAACAGAGTGGAGCTGAGTCAGCCTGAGCCTTGACCTCCACATTCCAAGGTGTTGGTGTGGGAGGGAGGAGCTAAGAGATCATGCTGAAGCCATGACCCACATCTGGCCTGAGGTTCATCAGCTCTCGGAGCACAGACTCTTGGGTGCTGGAGACACATCTGAGTGACACTGCTGAGGCTAGGATAGCTAATAATGGAGTCATAGCACAGATATGTTCAAAACCGTTTTGGCCCATAATTTTGTTCCTGTTTATGAAAGTCAAAAAAGTGAAGAGAAATGTTACAACACAGCAGCTAAGAGCCAAGACTGAGCAGCACTGCTGGTGTTCAAAGTCTGGTCTGCCTTTTCCCAGCCGTGTGACTTTAGAAGTCCTTCAGCCTCTGTGTCTTGGTTTTCTCATATTAGGATGTGTAGCATAGGGCTATGGCTAGGATGGCCATGGCTAGGACTTTTTATGTGCCTAGCACATAAAAAATGGTCACACATGGGAGAGAAAAAATGGCGTAGATGATAGAGGCTCTGTTCATTCCTCTGGCGACCAAATCAAAGTTGTGACGAAAACAAGGAGCAGCAGCAAGGAAAAATAGCCTAGGATCTAGATGAACAAGCCATACAACTAGGGAGAAATCCAAGAAAGCACCCTTCAATGGCAGAAGGTAGGATGGGGTGAAAACGCGGGACTACCCAGTCTCAAGCGGCTGAGTGAGATGGAGGCTGCGACAGTGGCAGTGGCAGACACCTCTTAAAGGGGCCACGACTGTGAGTGGATTTTTGTGGTGATGGACCTGCTCACTCTAAGCACCAGTGCCAATTCGGCTGCACGCAGGGACACCAGGAACTTACAGAGAAATAGTGTTGGAGTAAGGGATGAAGTAAGACTTGCTATGTACAGAAGTGCTGGCGGGATCCATTGTTCCCTGTTGAGCCTCGCCCCGCCATCCCAGTGCGCAGACACAGTGCCACCATAGCTGTGATGTCATCAAACTGAATAACAGAGGTCGCTTGGCCCAGAAGGTTCCCTGAAACTCCACCTGCCCCAATTCGGGGCCCTACCCAAGCCACATCCAGATGTATCCTCAGTGAATCAGGTGCTCCTTGCTGAGACTCACACTGGAGGCAGCCTTTGGTTTCTGGTGTGGCCTTTTGAGGCAGCTATAAGCACAGCATCTGTGAATTGCTTGCTGAATCCTAACGGGTGGCCCCAGAGGGATACAGGCTGGGGCTAAATTGGCCTGTAGCTGAACCCCTCTCAGGACTGTGACACTGGACACCTATTTTACAAATCCACACTAACAAGATCGGGAGATTTAGGAGCTTTGCTTAGTACATAGAAACAGACATGGAAAGGCAGCCAAAATGGGAAGACAAAGAAACAGAAACCATATGAGCAACAAAGAGATTAAAAAACAAAACATAAAAAGTGGAAATTATAAAAGGGAACCAGTCTGAAATGAAGAGCACATTATCTGAAATGAGAAGTAAATAAAAATAGAATAAACAAAGGAATAAAATAAAGAAATGAAAAAAGAAGAGGATCAAATGCCCTACCTAGAGGACAGGAAAGCCAATTAGGACACTCAGCCTGAATGGCAAGAAAAAAGATGCCAAGACTATAAAAATAATTTAAGGAGGATATGGGACACTATTAAGGCTCCAAATATTCATCTGATTGGT